AATTTAGAAGGAAAAAAAAGATACTAGAATGAGATGTAAAAAGTGTTCTACTAAAACCTTTTACAGCCCGTAGTGTTCTGCTATGCTGTGTGTGGAGAGTTCTTCAATCTGCACAACAGTCATGAAGAGGAGTGGAGAGTGGCTGAGCAGGCAGGGAGAGAAAAAATCCTCAAGGGTATCATGAAGCGTGTTTTGCTTTACTCTGAACCTGTACAATACTGTGAGTTTAACATGTTCAGTTATGTATACCTTGATTTAAACAACCAACACACTGATCCTGCTACCCGAGACACTAAATGCCCTTGCTTTCAGCTGAAATTAGAGTGCATAATCAGTCAAACACTGATTCAAATGACAGATTCAGTGAAAGGTACTTAAGGAAATTCCCAACCAGACCTGCCCATCCAAAGTGAGTTTTTCTGTTTCATTTGCATTAAAAAATAATCTGCAGCTTAGAAATAAGGGCTGGGCATTGTCCTTTCAGCAGAGAGGGATGTGCTTGTTCCCTAAATGAGAGCAGTAGAGTCTGACTCCTACCAGGTTTTGTCCTTTTGCTGATTCAGCTTTCCTTGTGTGGAGCTTCAGAAACACAGTCATAGTGGTTAGCCAAATTTCTCTGTCTTTGAGATTCAATGTGAATTTTTTTTTTTTTTTTAAATTCAGTGCTGCTTCATTTGGACTGAAAGAGGAAATGATGAGCTCCCATTGGAGGGTATCACTGTCTGGAGCACGTTCATGTTTGTGTGAGAGGGCTCAGTCTCACTGCTCAGGGTGAAGGAGTTTCTTATGATAGATTATCTCTGATGATATTTATCAAGCAGCTCACATACAACAAATAAAGGCAAGCAACGTGTAAGACCAACTGTTTCTGGCAGCTTCATATTATGATACTCTATAAGCAGTTCCATTTTGCTACTTTGCCTTTGAAGTCTGTACTCCAAGAAACAATACAGGAATACCCTTTCTGAGCTTGAGCATATCATGCAGGTTATCCGTCTCTCTCTCACCATTTCATAAGAGGCATTTTGAGTAGCTGATACTAGTGAAGTGGTCTGCTGCTGGTGGAAGAGATCTTATTGACTGGGTTCCTGTCGTCTGGCATGATGCTGACTGGAGTATAGAGTGTCACCCACCTGGAGTACTGTGTCCAGCTCTGGGGCCCCCAACATAAGGACATGGACCTCTTGGAGTGAGTCCAGAGGAGGCCACGAAGGTTATCAGAGGCCTGGAGCACCTCTGCTGTGAGGACGGGATGAGAGAGTTGGGGGGAGGTTGTTCAGCCTGGAGAAGAGAAGGCTCCGGGGAGACCTTAGAGCCCCTTCCAGTCCCTAAAGGGGCTACAGGAGAGCTGAGGAGGGGGTCTTCATCAGGGAGTGTAGTGATAGGACAAGGGATAATGGTTTTAAACTGAAGGAGAGTAGATTCAGATTAGATATTGGGAAGAAATTCTTTCCTGTGAGGGTTGTGAGCCCCTGGCGCAGGTTGCCCAGAGAAGCTGTGGCTGCCCCATCCCTGGAGGTGTTCAAGGCCAGGTTGGATGGGGCTTGAAGCAACCTGGGCTGGTGGGAGGTGTCCCTGCCCATGGTAGGGAGGTTGGAACTAGGTGATCTTTAAGGTCCCTTCCAACCCAAACCATTGTAAGATTCTGTGATTCTATGACTCCCTGTATGTTACTGGTGCCTTTGTAGCTACGTTGCCCATTGCAGTGTCAATGCTTAAATGACTTGCAGTCAGTGCTGCACACAGCGCCTGGGGCCCAGTCATGCCCAGCAAATCTGTGTTTGCAACACAACTTACTATAATGTCCTTTTCCCCAAACCCTTCTCAAAATCTGGAGGGACTCTTTTGGTGCCTTGCTTGCTTAAGTGCAGGGTGTAAATTCATTAAAAAAAATTTAAATTGTTCTCTGCAGAGGCCTGATGCTTTCAAGGAGGCCTGTAGTTACAAGCCAAACTTTCAAAGGACCCCTGGGAAAGAGCACTGGCATTGCTCATTCAACCCTTCTGCATGCATTGTATGACTGTTTTCACTCACAACAAGTATTACAGGCAACCTTGACCATCCTTTGAAAATTTGTCCATAGACATCCTATTTCTTGATGCTTGCACAGAGCTGCTCTGCCTCCAGTTCTGCAGTGAGATTGTAGTACTGGGCTGAAGGCAGCAAACAGATTTCTTTTACATGTGACATTCAGGAACAGTGTCTGCGCAAGATCTGGCACAGAAAACCCTCTCCACTTATAATATATGTCTTTGTACTTTGCTTTTTGCTTTAGGCGTGCAGCCCTCCTGCTCATAGGCCTCTTGGGCTGTATCTTCTGGCCAGCTCTGATACAGCAGAAGAGGATGAGAGGACACAGAAAATCAAAGACTGACTGAGAGCACATGGTGCTTCCAGGCTGTTTACTGCAGCTCAGGCTGACCATCAGTCCAGGAGAAAGAATATCTGCTAGGTTCATGAGTTGGGTGCACTACAGCACAAGATATCTCAAGAAAAAATCACCTTGAATGGAGGGGAATAGAGGAGAAAAGGCAGAAAGTGTTTTCACCAAAACCTAGATGATATTAAAATCTGCAAAACTGGCATCATAGGCATAGAAGGTCATAAGTAGACAAATTCTGCTCTCTGATACTTTGGTATTACTGTAAAATAACTCCTGGAGCAACTGAGAAAAATTTCTTGGAGATGATTTTCAAAGCTATCAGTAAAAATCCAACAAATCAAAACATTAAGTACCTTTTCCTTCACATCTGCCATTACTGGCCTTACCTCTTAGCTTCTCCATACAAATCTGCCTGTGTAGTATCTTGGGTCCCAACTTGGGTTTTCTGATGGCCGTCCTGCTTTTCCTGTTACTGAGAAGGGTATGCGGTTAGATCCATCTAAATGGTACGGTTCCTCTACGGAAACACTCTCATATTATATGGACTTATATGAACTGATTGTTAAAAGAAACATATTTGGCCTAGAGCTGAAGAATTTGACAAGAGGGAATCAAACTGCTTTTGCTATTTAATTTGCAGTCCCCTGGTGTGTGTATTATTCCCAGTACAGTACAAATGAGTACACGCAGTTATTTTTCTAGCCAAAATATTTTTTTTCTTCCCCTGGTTCAGGAAGACCCCGAACCACAAAATGGTGGGAGAGTCTTTCCAAGGAAATTCAGTATGTCCTTGCCTTTTTTTCCCCGACTTTTCCCTGTCTGTCCATCACTGGTCAATGTCAGGGACAAGGCACTGGGCTGGATAATCTTTGATTTGACCCAGCATCATCACTCTTTTTATATGCACAGGTGACAGTCGAAGCCTTCAGCAGGGTCCACAAATGCATGTGTGGGAGCTTTGACAGGGACTGAAGGAGGACGTGTCAGAGGCTGGGGCTTCCTGCCTGCAGGGGCTCAGGGTGACCAGGTTCCTACCTTAAACACTTTCGATACTTCTGTTGCTTAAAATTAGGTAAGGCAAAGCCTGCTGTAGCCCTTGATTTTCTTTCCTGAATTGCTGTAGGTCATGGTGAGGACTAGCCCTGGCCTCAGGAACTGGGTTGAAAGGGTTGCACAAAGTTACCTTTGGCCCTTCTTCCCATGCAGCACCAATTACAGCTGAGACAAAGTTCAGAAACAGTCCCTGTTTGAAGCTTCACACAGCTGGGCTGCTGGCACACCAGAACATTTTGCATACGCTGATTTAACTGTTGGAAAATTTATTCACACAAAAATCTTCCCATTCTCTTAGACAAAAGATTTTTTCCCCACTTTTTTTCCCTTTTTTTTTTTTTTTTTTTTTGGTCAAAGTCATTTTCCCATCTGTTATTGGGGCAAAAAAACCTCCTAGCCAGGACTTTTCATGTATGGATAAAGCTTTCATTGGAACTTGTTTTAAGAAGCTAAGGGTCGGAGACAGATTTTGCTTCCAGTGAAATCAGCAACAAAACTCCCATTGATTTCCCTGTGAGCTGAACCGAGCCTCTCCTACAATGGGGAGATTTTCAGAGGAGTTACGATGGCCGTGGATAAGGTCTTGTTGCTTTGCCCTTTCAAAAGAGAACTGTTTCTAGTGGAGGAACAATCAGAATATTTGTCTCTTTAAATGAATGGTTCTTAGAGCCTGCACAGAGAGGCAGTCTCCCTCTCTGCGGCTGTGAGGCTACTCAGAGCCTCCAATAAATCAGCATGCAGGAACTGAGAGCTCTGTCCTTGAAGAGATGCACGGTGACCTTGCTTACGCTTACTCTGGAGGAATAACCGGGGGAAACACAGGAGCCCAAATACTGAGCGGTCTGAAATATAGGACCCCAAATAGTAAGTGGTCTATTCTGCATGCAAATGCTACAGTACCGAAGGCATGGTATAGACAGCACGCTGCTACACAAAATGCAGCTTTCCTGCTAGCCTAACCAGATTGCTGCTATTGCTTTTTGCAGGGAACTGAATGAAATGCTCATGATTGTTACATGCTTGTTCAATAATAGCACACCCCAGTCACGTCTCCGTGCAAGCACATTTTGTTGGAATCACTGAGCAGAAGCAAAGAAGAGCTGACGACTATGTGTTTCCAACGCGGGTTGCCGGAGCCCTGTGTTTGCCATTGGCTGCAGTTTTCTGGTTTATTTGCAGCTTCCCCCATCTGGAATATGAAAATGGGATTGAAGTAGATAATTGCTAGCAGCGGGTTTTCAAGAGAGGCTTAGAGGGAACAGAATGCCTCTTGCACAGCACAGGCTGCCTGCGCTGAAAGAGCTCTGAGAGGTGATTTTAGATGTTACCCACGTCTGAATCTCCTGGAAACTTTACCGTGGAAGCAAGCCATTGCGCACAATCCTGGAGCTAACATCCGAAAGGGGCAAGGAAGGGGCAGCAGGGCCAAACAATGGGATACCTTGTCCTTGGATCGCTCAGAGAAAAGCCAGCAAGTGTTCCCCCCTGCTTCCCAGCAAAAAGGGCATGAAGGCGACAATGAACTGAATTTTACCCAGCGGAGCTTCAGTGGCTTTTAAGAAGGATGGGATACACTGATCCTTCGTCAAGCAGGGATTTGCTGGGAAACAGAACTTTGTTCTTCATATTCATCTGCGCCTTTGCCGTGGTCACCTTGCTGCAGCAGATCCTCTATGGGAGAAACTATCTCAAAAGGTAAGGGGGGATTTGAGGGAATAGGAAAAGTTGTCTGGTCGGACTGAATGGAGACAGAGATCCAGCCGTACCATTGTAACGGCTCAAACCACTTCTTGGTGTTGTGCTGACAATATTAATGTCTTGTCAATCTGGGAAGGTGGATCAGGCATCTGTAATGCCTGTTAGATTATTAATAAAGCAGAATTTTAGGCAGAATATAATGATTTGTGTTTCTTAGATTGTGTTTTAATCCTCAGCTGATGTAAAAATCTAGTTCTTACTTAACTTAAGATAGTCTGACTTATACCACCTGGGTATTTCCCCCTGATGAGACCCTGCCGTATAGGCTCTTCACCTTATGTAAATTCAAGCTGAAACGACTTGGGAGGTTGAATTAAAGTAGCATGTTCATTACCTAAACTTTAATATCTTTAGAAGCAAACATGCTGATGAAACTCCTAAAATCAAAGTGGCAATATTACTGTTGCAAATAACAGAGAGAGCACTTCGTTTTTTTTACTGCTGTATTCTCATGTACTCTCATGAATTTACTGCTGAGACTGTTGTAGAGCACATCAGTCTTTGATCTGAAAATGGTACTGCTGTTTTTAGAGCAAACACCAGTGGGGATCTTCAAGCGTTTAACCTTGACCCATGCAGAGTTTATTTTCCTTAAATCTAATTTGAGGTGTTATGGCTTGTATGATTTTATAAAGGGGAATGTTTCTCTTACATGCTTTGAGGTAAGTGGGTTTCAGTAGTGTAGGCAGCTGCTGTGGAATTTTTTATTGGCATTTAGCTGCATTTTGCCAGAAGAGATCAATGGTTTGATTCTTGCCTGGTTTGCAACTCATGTAGTTGTTTGCTTTGTGCCAAGAGCAAGCAAAATGCTGACAAATAAGCAAATGTTTCTCCCCGGGGGGGAACAGCAAGCATGATATTAATATGTATAGACAGGAGCGTTGTAGTTGATCCACAGAACAATTTGTGTGCCTTGCTTAGCAGTGAGGCCTTCCTCGGCTGGGGGACTCTGTCTGGTTTTGGGTACCTCACTTCCAGAAAGGTGTGACTCAGGTGGAAGGAGCCAAAGGAAAGCAGCAAGAATGAGCAGATGTGTAAAAACCTGCGTTCGTTTGGCTTGGAGAAAATTGAGGGGAGATATGATGACTGTCTTGAAACACCCAAACTATTTCTGCCAAGAGGAAGGTAATAAACACATACCTGTGAAGACTCATTAGATGACAGGAAGTCACAGGCTTAAGTTGCAGCATGAAAAATTTATCTTTAACCGCGAAGGGAAACTTTTAAAGAATAAGGCTACCTGAGGACGTATAAAATCTCCATTTTTGGGGGCTTCAGGAATCTGTTAGGTAGACGAGGGTAGCACCGAGCTGTCTTGGTGCTGAGAAGAGGATTTTATGAACAGTTCAGGTCTCATCTTGCCTTATTCTCTCAGTTTTTCCCATTTGTCCTAGGGGCCTTGCAGTCCTACTAATACTTGCTTGTCTAAGTTGAAATGACTGCAACAGGATTACAGCAATGAAAAATAAACCCAAGTATAGATTGAAATGAAAAATAGCAAAGTAAAGATAAAATGGTGAGAAGAGGCAAATAAAACTCTTTCAGTAAGTGATCTCTCTGGCTGGTCTCTGTCTTGCCTTGTGCCCTGGGAGCCTCTCCTGTCATCAGTGGGCTGCAGAGAATGAAAAAAGGGTGATGTGTGAGAAAGTCTGGTTCTGAGCACTCTGCCATCAAAGGGGCTTAAGCAGGGCAATGTGCATACATTTTCTCACTTGATCTTTCATGGAAATAAAAATGCAGGATGTGGCAGTCTCAGGCTGTCAGTTATTAATGACAGAAAGGTGATTTACATAGCAGCCTGCATTGTTACCATAATATTATCATGAAGGTACTCTTTCACTTTTTCTTTCCCTCCCTCGCTTTCATGCCCTGCAGTACAGTATGGTGGCCATTCCCAGGCAGTTTTATTGCCAGTCCTCTCTGTGCAGGGGTAGCTGCAACCTTTGATTGCTCTTTTCTTTCACAAACGTCTGGTGTTAAATCCCCTGTTAGAAGCTGATGCCGGCTGTGAGGTTCCTTGGACACATTATAGCTTGCACCTCCAGGGACCATGGTGGAGCTGGTGGTTTTGGAGAGCGTCCTTGCAGAGGAGAAGTGGGATATTTATAACTTTGGTGCTGCTTGCCAAGCTGGAGCCTGGGGACGCTGCCTAAACCTAAAGCCGTTTACTCGCTAGGATTCAACATGCTGCTTGTTTTATGATAGCCTTTGCTTGTATCCCAACATCTGCAACAATAACAGGCATCTGGGCCTCTTCCCAAGGCAGTAGGAAGAAACTCCCTCGTGTACTTAGAGAAACCTTAAGATTGCCCTGAAGTACTATTCCAGTAAATCTATGAAGCTTTTAAGCCTAAATATAACACTGGGCTAGCTTGTTTCTTACAAGAAGATGGTGGAAATGGGTAAAGGCCAGCAAGGCAGAAGGAATCTCTCCTAAAACAAGCAGCTTGGGCACAACGTAGGGGACAGCGTAGACTAGAGGCTGGTCCCAATCAGCAGTGTGGACAAAGGCACCCTTTTCTGGGAGAAAGACGGAAAAGTTAGCTGTATGGGTGTAAGCTGTGCCCTTACAAGCAGGGATAGGGCTGGGTTTATTGCCATGAAAACCCACCTGCAGCTCTCCATGGAGGGTGCCGTGGAGGCTCGTGGCCCTGTGTTTGCCCACGGCCGTGCTCCAAAAGCCTGGCTGTGGGGATGGCAGGACTGCAGGCGGGAGAGGATGCACCAGGAAAGAAACTCTGCTCCGTGAAATTTGATAAGGGGCCCAGCCTCTGGTCAAATCTTCTCTTTCCCCTTAATGAGATATTAATGAGCTCCTGGCATTGCTGGAAGAAGGGGACAATGCAGAGATTGAATTTCTTGGTATTCACATATTTTTCACCCACCATGTAATGTTCTCTGCTCCTTCCCCTGCTGTTTTGTACTGTGTCATTGGGAAATGGAATCCTGCTCACCTTGTTTTTCCCTTTTTCAGTTTTCCCCCAAGTGGGATGGATGTGGGTCCCCTCAGCAAGGCCAACGCATCGTCCCTGTAGTAGCAGCTAAAGTCCTAGCAAGAGAGTTAAACTGCAGGCTGGAGAATGACATCGGAGAGCTCTGGTCTCTGTAGCTCCTGATCCTGGGTAAAAAAGGATGATGAAATGAGATATAATTAAGGGACTTTAATACGGATCTCTGGGGTAATTATTTTTATTTTAGGATTAATGTGATGATTAAAAATCCACTGCATTGATCTGCTAAAGTAGGTTAAATGCTGTGGACTTCTGCTTAAATCCAGAGCTGCCGCTTGCTTTTGTATTGACTTATCTTTGCAATGCCCGTCTTTCAGCTGAATTTTCTTTTGAATCAGATGCTCAGCTGAGAGCTGGCCTTTTTTTTGTGAGCTCTTGTTTGGCCAGCAGGGAATAATCCTGGATTACATCAGGAAACTACCACTACAGTAAAAAATGTTGAAATGGTCCGCATCTTCATCTCCCAACCGGTAACATTGGAGAGATCAATAGGACAGTCCTTGTCTGCTTTGGCAAGGGAAAAATATCAGAGCAATACTTTGCTATATACCTATATTCTGTTGGCAGGGAATTCACTGAATACTGTTTTTTTAAAAGCCTGACTTCTGCATAGTTAGAGTCAGCTGAGGAAGGGAATCTGCCCCTTTAAAAATATTTTTTTCAGCCAAGTGAGGAGAACACATTTTGAAAGCTCTTAAAGACTTGAAACAAAGATTACTCTGGGGTCTGTCAGAGCGGTCACATACAATAATTCAAAAAATCACACAGCAAGAAACAGCAAACCTTCCCATGCAGGTAATCTGCATTATTTGACAGCTTTACATCTTTTAAATGAGAATAAAATATCACTTCTATGTGTGTTTACCCTGTAATTAATATCAGACTCTTATAACTTGAGGTTATACCACCATTTTGGGATTTCTGAAGCAGCTTGTATACGACAGTTGCAAATCAATCCCCAGACATTTTTACCCCTTTCCTTACGCTCATAGGAAACATAGCTTATGGTCATTTCATGCACAATATGGGCAAATAAGGAATAAACGCACAGAAAATAAACCTGGGCTGCACTGTGAGGCACCGTTTAGTCTGTACCGTGCTATAAGACAAGATCAGATCTTACTTTTATCTGCGACAGCAGTAGTTGTGATATGGACACAGAGGCTGCATGTGGTCTTGAGTTTTACTTTGTGCTAAGCTGGGTTCTTGAGGAACTACAGCCAGCTCATGTCAGTTGAGAGCTCCTGCCCCATACCTGGCATGTGCTCCTCTGTGCTGCTTATAACACCCTGTGAAGATGTTAACTGTAACCTAAGACCATCTGTGCCAGTGTTAAAAGTCTCTTTCCATTTAAATATTTTTTCCCAAGAGGCCTAAGCTGAAGGTCACCTAATGAGTCATCTCTCCAACACACAGCTCCATGCCCCCTCCGTTTCTAACCAGAGTGAAATATTATCCCAGTGAAATGACATGCGACCCGTGAGTCACCTCTCTGAATCCCTGACAGGGCTTTAGCGCAGGTTTTGGTTTTGGTCATTTTTCTTCAGAGGAGAAGAGCACTGGAAACTTCAGGAGGCAGCAAAGTCTTGAAGCTGTATGCGCCAATATGTGTACGTACGGGATACGGCCATCACCTTAAAGTGACCAGATCTGGTCTAGAAGAAGCCGAGACTCCAGCCATGCTGTTCTTGTTACAGGGTATTCCCAAGCGCGTTTGAAGGTGATGAGGACCGGGTGGTTGGCATCCCCATCACACCTAACTAACCCTGCAAAGACGAGGAGCTGAACCAGCTCCCTGAGAGGTCAGAGGAGCACTGGAGCCTGTGCTGTGGGGCAGAGGTGGCAATGGGTTGGAGGGGGCAGAACAAACAGGGAGCTGATAGATTAACTCGGCTGCCTCTAAAGTTGTCCCCCACTGGTCATCCC